CTTCTCAGCACATTCTTGGCTTTTAGAATTCTCTTGTTATAATGAAAATATTCCGGTCCCTTCAAGAATTAGACAACATATCAAGTCATACCTGAGCAAGAACAATTGTAAAAGAATGTTAAGTTCTATCATCCATGTTTATCAACAGCAAAAAATTTCAAAGACAAATGTTTACCCCATGTTACTGAATTAAAGGCACCCATACAATTCAATCATTGTTCCTTAGCAGCAATGGAAACTTCAATCAACTGGAGTCATTTTCAGTGTAATTCTGGTACTGCTTAGGGCAGGTTATTAATATAATAATCGCTGTGATGTGCCATCAAGCCAGTTCTGACTTATGGCGACAGTTTTCGAGGCAGAGAATACTCAGAAGTGTATTACAGTACTTTCTTCTGGGGGTGCCCGAGGATTGTGCAGCTTGCCCAAGGCCACATGGGCTGGCTCTACTTGCAGGAGATAATCAAACTCCCAACCTCTGGCTCTGCATCTAGGTACCTAAACCACTGAGTATCCAGCCAGCTTTCTAGGCTATTAATAGAACTTAAGTATTAATATAGCCCAATATTATTAATTGGTATTAAGATATGTATGCACTGAGAACCAGCGTGATGTAGTAAAGTGTCAGACTAGAACTTAAAAGATCAGGGTCCCTAATTCAGAGATCAAGTGTGGGTGGTGGCAATAGTAGAACACTCCTTGAATATCTCACATGCCTTGAAAACCTTACTTAGGGCTGCTATATCAGCAGTGATGACAGCAGATAACAACAAAGTACTGTATACTGAGATGTAGAGAAAAGCCCCTCTTTGATGAACACACAGAATTATAGAATGATACAACTGGAAGGAACCTCAAACCTCCTTCCATAGTAAGAAATCCAGAGCTAATGGCATTCCTCACGGCCATATACATATATTGATGCTTCAGTTAAATTTTGGGTTCGAAAAGTGGGGGTTGTCTTATACATTGGGTCGTCTTATAAATAAAAGTATTCTTTGTTTCTTTCTCATGCTGGAGGCAAGTACTCTTGCATGGCTTGAAAATTTCTCATTGTAGTGCCTTGTCGTGTATGAGAGGGACACTCCAGCCATCCTCAGAGGGCTGCCCACCTTGGCCCCGCAGCCCCCAAGACCCAAAAAGCAGGGCAGCCTGAGGATGCAGATGGTAGGAGCAGGTCCCCAGGTGGGAGCCAGGAGAACGATGAGCCACATCTGGAGTGTGGGCCGTGGCTGGGGCAGAATGATGGGCACTGGGCTTAAAGAGGGCAGAAGAGGAAGAGGGAGGAAGAGGAGGGTTCATCATCTTCATCAGACATGGGATTAGAGCAGTGGTCCCCAATCTTTTTCAGTCTGCGGACCATTTGGGGGTGCAGGCTCCGTCCATGGACCGGTTCAGGGTGGGTGGGGGCACCCTTGCGCTCATGGGTGGGCATGTCATGCTCATAGGTGGGCGTGTCCTGCTTGAGGAGGGGCATTTCAATCTCATGGGCGGGCATGTCGCGTTTGCTGGGCGGGCATGTCACGCTTGTGCGCATGCCCACCCATGAGTGTGACACGCCCCTCCACAAGCGCGACATGCCCCCCATGCGTGCGTGCGGGGGGGCAGTGAAAAAGTAACCTCCAAAATAGCCTGTCTTCAACGGTCCTGCTCCTCTCCTAGAGCTTTCTTCCTTCCTGGTGTCAATTCACTGTGTCTTTAGTCTTCCTCTGGTTCTGCTATCTTCAATGTTCCCCGAGGTTGGGAAAGTCGGCCCCACAGCCAAGACTTGCCCGCAGTTCTCAGTGGACCCACGTTTTCTTCCAGATGACAGGCGCAGATCAACCAACAAGGCACTCTGCATGTGCTCGGAGCCGCGCACGGTCTCCCCGAGCAGGAAGCAGGGTTCCCCTGGGGCTCCAGCCGAGGCCACCGTGCTGGTGCTTTCCAACCCGCTCTGCCCAACAGCAAACAGTAGCAGATGCTGCTCCAGCCCCATGGCCCTCAGCGGAGACAGGGCCAGTGTCACCCCTCCAAAGGGGCGGCAGTGCTACTACCAGATCCAGAGTCGCTCTGCTTCCTTCACGCCAGCTGCCCAATTGGACCCCCCGGGCAAGGTGGACCTGCTAAAAGTGGGGGTTCTGCAAGGGCTACATCTTGGGGCCAAGGTAGGCGCGTCCTCCTCCCTGCACTCGAAGGTGGCAGCCACGGGGAAGCCACCTTCCCAGAACCTCGGAATTTCCACATATGAGCAGCAGTGCCCCATGCAGTCCAGCCCAGCCCACCTTTCCTGCCCAGGAAGAGTTGGCCTAGCAGGTAGTAGCAGGATCGCACGCATGTTGATTGCTAGTGTTGTCCAGTATTTCAGTATTTTGAAATAGAATTTGATGTCCAGCTTGTTTTAGCTGACATAAATAAATAAATAAATAAATTTAGCTGAATACTGCAGACTAAAATACTGCAGAATAAAACAACCGGAAAAATCAGCAGTAGCTGAACATGCCCTAAAACAAGCTGGACATGAAATTCTATTTCAAAATACTGAAATACTGGACAACACCAGCAATCATTACGTTAGACTGCACAGGGAAGCCACTGAAATCCACAAACACCAGCAGAGCTTCAACAAAAAAAAGAAAGGTTAAAACTCAACAAAGCTTGGCTCCCAGCACTGAAAAATACAGCCTTCAAAAGGTCAACGAACTCTACCCAGCCACAAGGACTGGTGATCACTACACACAAAAAACCAGCTAACCACACCCATCAATCACAGTGATAGATAATCTTTCCTCCTTATCACAACAATACACCCACAACAAAAACACACTGATCACCATAATCACCCATCTCCTGAAAAGGACAAAAGCTGATCCCACAGCTATAAATCCTCAACTCCCAAACAAACTGCACCAGAGCAGAGAGTGCTACTCCTGTCCTCTGAAGATGCCAGCCACAAAGACTGGTGAAACGTTAGGAAGAAAAACCTTCAGACCACGGCCAAAGAGCCCGAAAAACCCACAATAGCCATATTAATTCGGATTTGCAAGCAACGTCTAGTATTAGTTCATTATGTTTTTTACAGGAAACTCTGGAAATAAAATAGAAAGAAAATGATAATGAATATCAGAATATTGCTGAGAGGGTGGAGATTACTGGTGCATTGTTTCTTTTATTAAACAATTTCACACATGCATCTGTGCCTAATATCTAGAAATCTTGGTTTTAGGAATTTGGAGTCCATGTCATTGAATCCAAATGTCCTATTACAGGATTGCCTGAGAGAGGCAAGTGTCTTAGGTACTTTACGTACCTGCTGACTGAAAGATAATAGTTACGTACATTTTTCAATCAGGTATTTAACTTCTTGGGCAAATTATTTGCCTTTTGTGAGTTGCTACACCCCACGGCAGACATTTTGTGGTGCTGCCCAGATTTTGTGGTCCACCCTTCTCTAATTTTCAAATGTAAACATGGCAAGCTTCAAAAGGTCACAGATGACTTCTTCTTGACCATAAATGAAAGAGCCTTTTCCAACCATAAGGTAGTTCTTTTATATTGCAGATGGTATCTTGTACAAATAGCTGGAAGACAGATGGCTACAGTAATGTGATCTATATTGTAACCCATTGTTCGAGGGGGTGCTGATAAGTATTGAGCCTTTTCCAGAAAAAAATGAGCTAGGAAGCTATAACTGCCACACTATTCTACATATTTCCCCAGGAAGTCAATGCACTTGCGACATCTATCCTGCAGCTTCTTAAGTCCCTGCAAATAAAATTCTTCTGATTGAACCACTCATTTGCAGCACTAGTTGCTTCCAGAACGCTCTCAAATCATTGTCCCTCTACGTGTTTTTTGAGTTTGGGGAACAGATAATAGTCAGAAGGAGCCAGGTCGGGAAAATAGGGTGGATGGGGCATCACTTGAAAGCCTAACGATGTCAGTTTTGCCATTGTTTGACCTGCAGTGTGTGATGAGGTGTTGTCATGCAACAGGATGACACCTTTGGAGAGCTTTCCTCAAAGTTTTTCCTTTGAGGAAATAAAGCACAGCAATATTTTGCATTGATGGTTGAACCCTGTTGGAGGTAGTCCACCAGCAGAACTCCCTTCTTATCCCAAAAAACTGTTGCCATTTGCTTCTGCACTGACCTTTGCATTCAGAACTTTTTTGGCCTGGGGGAACCACTGTGCCTCCATTCCTTAGACTGTTCCTTTGTCTTAGGATCTTAACAGTAGATCCATGTCTCATCACCAGTTACCAGCTTGCCCAGGAAATCTCACTCATTTCTTACAAAATGTTCCAAAGCAGCCACCGATGACTCCACACGTTTCCTCTTTTGTTCGGTTGTCAAAGGTTTGGGGATCCACTTTGCTGCCAGCTTTCTCATTTCCAAGTCATTGTGGATAATGGCACCAACTCTCTCACGTGATATTCTCAGATATATAGCAATAGTTTTAGCTGATATTTGGCGGTCCTCCATGATCATGTCATGGATGGCTTTCACATTTGCAGGCAGAGACAGAAACAGGCCTTCCACTGGGTTTCTCACTATCAACACCGAAATGGCCAGTTTTAAAATTGACAACCCAATATTTAACTGTTGCATATGAAGGGCCACTGGTTTGTGATATTTCATCATGGATCTGCTTTGCACTGTTCCCTTTGAGAAACAGGAACTTGATTATGGTCCTATGCTGTTCCACAATGAACTTTTCTGGAGGTGCTGCCGTGTTCACTTTGGACCGGAAAATGAAAGTTAAGTTAAAATCATAGGTAGTTGATTTTTGCACCATTGAATACAGACAAATTGGCCAACACACCCTGCAATTTATAGCTTCCTAGCTCATTTTTGTTCTGGGAAAGGCTCAATACTTATCAACACCCCCTCGTATACTCATAAGCAATCTCTGCTGAGCTCAATGAGGTTTATTCCTAAGCAAATAGGATTGTCACTGCACCTGTGAAAATGAAGTTTTATTTTGTTTTCTTTTTTACCACAATGATAGATTTCTACTTACCACAGAGAAGAAAAGGGTATGCAAAGCCATTGTAAGAGTGTGTTCTGGAAATGATTTTTTGCTAGAGACAACCTTGCACAAGTTTTCTTTACTGTTCGTCCTGGGAGGAGAAAAATACAGTGTTTATTGCACAATGAAAGTGTTTTTATTTTGCTTTTTAGAAAAGGATTGTACTGTGCTTTCACAAACACCCTAGTAGAAGCTTGAAGACCCAACTCATCCTTAAGGAATCAAGAATCTGCTGTCAAAATGGTGTCAGAAGTTCTGGATACCTGTTCCCTACGAAGGATCTACTATGACTCACCAATCCTTCTCTACTATCCTGGTACTCATTATCATCATATGCCACTCAATGTCTATCCATTCCCTACCTTTTATTTACTAGTTAGCTCTTCACTCTGGGCTCCATTTCTACTGAAACGTGACCATATGTGATCTCATAAATCACGTCTGGCTATTTCTAACACAAATAATAGCTGTGTTCAGGCTTTATTGAGTCTGAATACATTTAAAGGGGAATGCCTGGTCCCCATCATGCTGTTGCTGCTGTATTCAAATGAACAAAGAGCAATCTGAGGAGCTTGTGTGTACACTTTACACATGACCTAAAATACTAGAACCCTGGAGAATCTAAGTTCTTACATGCATATAAAGCATACAGATCTCATTTATAGAGCCGTGTATCTCTCCTTTGTGTGTACATCTCCATACTTCATGTGCAGATCCACACACCTCATCTTCAGGTTCCTTACTAATTTTGTGAAGAAAGCAATAATGCAGGAGATGATGTCAAACATTCCCTCTAAGTATGTTCAGGAAACCAAATTCAGTCATACCTGAATAGGGCTAATAATTTTTTGGAATGGGCTCTAAAAGTTGACCAAATAAGTTATAGACACCAGTCTTTCACCTTCCTGTGGCTTCCACAAACTGGGGGCAATTCTAAGCCACTGGCTCCTGTGTGTTACAAGAGTGTAACTCTGTTTTATGTGGTTGCCACATTTAGATCATGAAAAATTACTTTTAACAAATTAATTATTGATAAAAATTTACAGTAATCATATTGCAACATTGTTTTAGAAGAAGTAGCTGTACTAATCTGTGCTAGCATATCAGGCAAAAACAAAAGAAGAAAGAAATTTTTTTTGCCACTTTAAAGATTGCTATATTTTAATGTGAACTTTCGTGGACTTGTCCATTATACCTTTATTGAGGGAGGGGGAGAGATAATTACAGCTCGATACTCCTGAATTCTACCCTACTCATAACTATATAACTTCACATCCCATGATAACTTACTTGGCTGAAACCAAAGTAGCACTGGAAGGCTAAGACACACTTAGCTTAAATTCATCCTACCTAAAGCATGAGTCCAGCTGGGGAGGCCTGAATCCCCAGATCCCTATTCAGCTACTAATCTAACTTGGTGACATTGACTGAGAAAGAATGACATCAAAAATGTCATTCTTTCGCAGTCAATGAAGAAATCACAGTATACAAATATAAACCTTATGTATATATAGAAGGTAGGAAATTAGTTTCAAAGAACTTCTTCTGGAACACTGCTGAGATAACACATGACTTTTTAAAAAGTCTAAAAGCAGTACATAAATGCCAAGTACAGTATTATGGACTTCACAATTTCCTTTATCTGCAGTATTTTACTGAACATCCTCTGGCATGAAAACTATGGTGGAAAAATGAAGCTTTCATATATCTGTTTCAGAGTTAACAGAACCATAAATGCAGAACTCCAGTAACCACAGATGATGAAACTCCCCGCTGTACAAGGATTTTCACCACAAAATTGTTGTCAACAATTCAGCCTTGGTCTATGACACCAAGTCAGCAGACCTGTGTTTATCATGGTCCTTAAACTATGCTCTGTCTGCTCTTTAATCTGCTACTAGCAATCCTGCCCTCAACTTCTTGCTATTTGCACTCCAGAAATGGAGTCACATGTTTTAAGACATCTTGTTTTCAGGAAGCATAACAGCTCCCCCTGTACTTTCCAGTAATCAGTTATTAACTAAATGACTTGTTTTCCTAAGGCTGTATCTAGACCATTTACATTTACTAACCCCATTAGTCACAGTGGCTTAATGTTTCATTTTCCTTTCTGGTCAGTTGTGTCTTCCCTCATAAACTTTCACACCATACAGACAAAAGACTTTTCAATAGCTGTAACAATAAATACCGTAGGTACAGCTAAATATGCAACAGCATCATGTTGTTGACCCACAGCACTGTAGAACTACTCCTGACTGCACACTATGCCTCCTTTTACTGCTTTCTCAGAATGTTGCGAAGGGAAGTGGGTTCTGCACCCTGAGCCTGGAAGTAACAAGTAACTGAAGTTAGCCATAATGAGTTGCATTTTGGGGTCAACAACAAAAGTAAATTTCTGAAATAATATAACTACTCTGTTGGTATAAGAAATGTTATTTTCTACTGTTATGCTTTATGTCATTCTCTTACCAATGCTATAGGGACAAATCTATAAGTAACACTGAAAAGGGTCTCCCACATTCCCTGAATGGAATCTTCTATTATTTATCAATGTTACAGTTTTACCTCTCCTCCACCCTGTCAGTTTCCGGAAGTGTGACATTTCTTCTTGTTCCCTTTCTGAAGCAAAAAGTGTATGGTGGCAATATTGGATGAAATGTGTAATATTCTAAACCCCCCCTCCACCTACTGGTAAGCCTTGATCTGAGTCTTATAATACTGAAATGTATTTTGTGTTTGGGGTTTGGAAGAGTTTGGTGTGAAGAAAATTGAGTGTGGCCCTCAATTTAAAACAATCTTTCCTTCTGGATTATATAAGAGATAAAAGGGGTTTGGGCAGGAACCTACAGAGCAAATTGAACTACAATCACCCTTAGACCACCACCCCTTACTGGTTAGTTTACTTCAACTGGCACTTCCTCGTTTCAATACATGTACTGTACTCAGAGACTCTGATAAATTAGAAAGAATAAAATGTTTCTGTTTACTTACAGCTCTTATATAAAAGCAAACATTTTGTGGAAATGTTAACTTGTTACATTACTGAGCCTAACAGGTTAATTTGATTCATTATTATCTAATAATCTGGTTATATTGCTCACAGGATTCTTCCACTCTACCTGTTCATTTATGCCTGCATAATTCACACACTCTGACAGAGCATTAAGTGAACAGAACCCTCCTGACTGGAAAATGCGGGAAAATGGACTCTGAGGGAAGCAACTGGCTGCTACAGAGTTGCTGCACTGCAACTCGCTCCCAGCCCAAACCTCTCAAAGGCATCCCGTGAGGGTACAATATATCCAGCATTTTGTTCTACAGAGGGGGAAAACTTTCAGGGACACAACAACACCTATGAGAAAACCTTTATGAATATCACCAAATATCTTTTCTCATGTCCCCTGAGTGGGATGAAGTGAGAGCTGCTACCATTTGAGCTGAGGTGGAAAAAAGAACAGCAGCCACTGAAAGCAAGAGTATGTTGCATACCATGAGCTTCAGGCACAAGAAAGAGCAGCAAGACAACAAAAAGCAAAGAGGTATGGCAGGCAGAGTGGAAGGCAGAAGCAACATAGGAGAAGGAGACACTGTGGAGAATCAGGGAGAAAAGAACAGAGGTTAGCAAGTGGGTTTCTCCTTAAAAGATTAAGGGGTCTCCCCGGTTGGAGGCAGATTTGAGATCTGGTCCTAATGCCTTCTCACGGTTGGAACAACACCATTGTGCAACCCAGCTGCTTTACTGACTCCTCCTTTTCCTGGTTCCAAGCATATGTGTGGACATGTGGGAGCTTATGAAAATTAACTTTTTTGGACTACATCTCCCTTGCCACCTTGTTTCCCCGAAAATAATACCTAACCTGAAAATAAACCCTAGTATGATTTTTCAGGATGCTCAAAATATAAGCCCTACCCCCCCCCCAATAAGCCCTAGTTGTTGAAACTCCGCCGTCCACCATTGTGCAGCAACCAGAAGAAGATGACATGACTGTATTTGAGTAAATGTTGATTGTTGTACATGAAAAAAATAAATAAAACATCCCCTGAAAATAAGCTCTAATGCATTTTTGGAGCAAAAAATAATATAAGACCCTGTCTTATTTTCGGGGAAACATGGTATTACTAATTGGCATTTTTAAAGTATGGGTTTTTTTTCAACATACAATGCACTCTACCTACATTAGCTTAGTAATAAACAATAACTGTAGAGCTTGAAGGGACCCTATGGATCACTGAGTCCAGCCCCTGCCAAGGAGGCACAGTTGGGAATCGAACTCAGCCTCTGGCTCTGTCATCAGACCCAAACCACTGAGCTATCCAGCAGTTTTCCTGTCAGCAACCCTAACTCTGAGTGAAGGCAGTATGAGTTTTCCTATTTTAAAATTGGAATGTGGAGATGATAGGGGCAACTGGGTAAGTTTAGGCATTCCAAGCAGGATCTCAGAAGGACATCACTGACACATGACCACAAACCAGAAGAAGAGAAAATGAATAAATTATTTGACATTGTAACTGACATGATCAGGTCCTGTGATACTGCTGGCTGAACCAACGTATGGACAGGCATTGGTCCCTGGATTGTGTCCCTTATTGTTGTTGGCAGTGAGACACTGCTTTGGGTTAATGGGCTACCTGATAATGTCCCAGCCATGCAAGGCCAGTGTGAGTTGAAATTACACTAATGCAGGATGCCCTGTAGATTAATGATTGTGTGATGGAGTGGCTGTATGAGGGAACTACAAGGGTATGCTACCATTGCCTCTTCTAGGTCTGTTCTACATTTGTGGGTTTTGTATCTTCAGGACTGCCTAGTTCAAATCCTTATGGCATGAGTCGCTAATTAATCAAAACAGATATGGTACTTACGTGACTCCTTAATTATAACTTTAATCTTGGGATGTGTTTTGTGGAGTATTTTGGGCATGAGCTGAAAGCAGTTTGGTATGTATAAGTCAATTTCTGATAAAAGCTGGTGCTTGTACATCTGTTAAGCAGTGGATAATGCTCCTGATGCATGGGACAGCCTAGGCTCAGGCTGATAATGAGTTAAAAGCTATTGAAGCATGCTCTCAGATAAAGAGTCTCAATTGGGGA